TATAAATCTTGTAATTCGCAAGTCTAAAATTATAAATAAAAATAATGTGTAAGGACCGCCTGTTCCTTCAAAAAAAATAAAAAAAAAAAATCTTTTTAAAAATTAATAACTTGAATACTAATTAAAATTATTATTATTTTTTTTGTTAAATGATTAATAAGTAACATTATACAAATAAATTATTTTCAACTAGTGATATTATTTAAACTTTATAATGATATTATGTAATTATCACGCGATCGGTAAAGTAAAATAACCAATATTACACTTTATTGTTTTTTGTGAGCAACTTCATGTTCTTCCACGCGATAGAGTTGTGCAATATTTTCTTGGATATTCGCATGATATTCCTTCTTTAATAATCACATGTTTGATGATGAAGACGAGGAGTTGAAGTAGTGTATAACGGAGGTAAAATGTAGGATGAGAATTATAAGTTTGGCAACAGGCGAAGAATCACTAAGGAAAGAATTACCCTGGACCTAGTTCGAATTATAGATGAGATGGTAACCACGGGCATTGTTTTTTTTCCTTTCATTGTACCGATGTTTCCTAATGTGTGCATTGAAAAGGATAATGACGATTATCACATAACATTTACCTAGAAGATACTGAAAGAAGACGTGGAACTTCGCCGAGGTGTTAAAAAGGTTCTGGGGGTGATTGTTGATTCACCGGATGGTAAAAGAAATGAATGTGTAATCCGCAGACAATACTATAGTATAGACGTCATGTATCATGGGCTTCGTTCCGAAACCATTGTACTTCGTCCTGAACCGTTGTATTTATTTTTACGTGTATTAATAAAAATTCTTTGGTTGAACTTGTCTGGGTCACAGAGTGGACAAAACCATATAGATTCTCTTTTTTGTATTGATCTTTCTTGACGAACCAGTGGAGTCACGTGATATTTGATTTTAAAAAGCAATATCCTGTTTACAACGGGAATCATGGTGATTATGGAGTGTCTGGTGAATGGTATGGAAAATGGAAAGGAAAGAAATTTGGAAATAATATTAAAGAAGTTGAATTAATTTGAATTCGTAATCTTATGCTCATCACTTCTATTTCCAAAGGTGGCAGAAGTTCTACAGGGAAAATCTCAATGCAACATATTCTGAAAACGATAACGGAGAGGAATTTCTCATGAGATACAGGATACAGGATACAGGATACATACAGTACATTGATTAATAGTAAGTACATCACATGAAAACGATAAAAGAATTTTGGTGCGCGGCCACGAGATAACTTTCATTAATTTCCGAGTGCATTCAACATTAATATTAAGTGCGTACGTAATTG